AGAAACGCTGTGCTCTTTACAAAGGAAGTTAATCCTTTGTAAATAAGATAGAGTGCACTATTCCATGCATGCCCACACATTATGAGAGAGTGTAAAATTGTGTATCAAAACAATGCCCTTCACCCATAAAAGCTCCTTTGTGTTGCTTTTGAATCCTGGTTATTTCACAGGTGTGGCCATGTAGTTTCCTTGGCAAGAACATTGAACTGATTTGCTGCCACATTCTTAGGGCTGTTTCTTCAACTTCTCCATACAGCAGCCCTGGGATTTTCTGGTGCTCTCCCATTCAAGAACTAACCAGATCCAACTCCTATTAGATTTTTTTACAACCTGTTAGGCACTGTCACCTAAAACGTCGTTAGTGGGTGAGTTGGTACAAATAAAAATGCAAAAAACTGCTGCTCCAAGTATTCTTCTTTTAGATGACCTCAGTTTTACTACTGAAGTACAAGCTAGGAAAAAAATTATCTGGAGAGGAATATGGGTGTGCTCAACTTTTTTGTCCTATGCTCTTCTTTTCTTCTGAATTACATTTTGATTTCCTGATTTAAGCATTTTGTCAGACTATCATAGCATGCAGTTCCGTCTTACACTGTCCTATGATTTCTGTATTTGCGGTTCTAATGCTGCTGGTTAAAAAGAATTGGTGCTTAATAATGAATTGTCATTCCATATTGTGGAAAGCCATTTACTTTCTGAATTTTTACTGATTGTTTTCAGTGATGGAGAAAATCAACAGAATAAATATGTTTTAATAAGAATGCTAAAATTTAACTATTCTCATTAACATCAGTCAAACATTCTGATCAGATCAGAAAATCCATTATGCTGAAAATGAGATATATAGGTACTGAGCTCACTTTCATAAGCAGATAGGCAGCCATAGATATCATAGCTCTATAGAAACACATACTGTAATATTTGTGGAGTCCTTGGGGTTCTCTGAGCTTGGTTCTTTTCTCTCAAACGTTTCATTACCCTGCTAGGTAACATCTTCAGTGCTAAAATGGGAT